GTCTTAGAGCAATCGCCTCTGATTCAGACTAATAAACTTAGATTTTAGTTCATGGTTTTCAGATGGTGCTCTGTAGTTAAGAAGTTTCTTTAATACCTTTATAAAAATGAAAAATTGTCATTTGATAATGATCTATAGCTAAGCTAACTCCTACATCTCACTAAGATAAATGAAGAACCCATGATATCACCAACAACAGTGAAGCAGTGAACCCTAAATGATAAACATAAATGATGTATGTGTTAATATAAAGATATTGTTTTCCTTGATATACCTGCGTTTCAGTGGTCCCTGCAAATGATCAACAGATGGTGCTGATTAAAGTAGAACCTCCAGAAGAATGGATACCTGGTGTGGACCAAGCAGATCCAGAACCCCTCAAATTAAAAGAGGAAGAGGAGGAACCTTGGACCAGTCTGGAAGGAGACGAAGTTGTGAAAGAGGAGATTGATGTCACCAGGGTTTCAGTCACTGCATTTTCTTTTAAAAGTGAAGATGAGGAAGAGAAGCCTCTGTTCTCACAGCTACATCAGCACCAGGTGGAGGACAGAGATCTTCCAACCTGCAGCTCATCTGGTCAGATGGAAACAGCAACTGATGAGGAGGACTGTGGAGGACCTGAAACTACCAGTAACCCAGTTGGAAATATTTACAAAAACAGTTCCAGCTCATCAGAGACTGAACTCAGTGAGGATTATAACGACGATGAGGATGTGAACAATTCTGACTCTCAGCTGAACAATTTGTCATTCTCTGTGCAAAAAACTAAAGAAAGGAACAAAGAATGGAAGAACAGAAGAGCTCCTGAATCAGGAGTGAACACTGTCAAAAAATCTGTGAGATGCTCTAAGTGTGGTAAGAAGTATGTCAACAAGAGGTCTCTTAAGAGACACATGTCCTGTCATTTAAGAGACCAGACACAACCACAAGTACTCAAGTGTAATGACTGTGATAAGAAATTTACAAGAAAAAATGATCTAAAAGCTCACATGAGAGTCCACACAGGAGACAATTCATTTCCTTGTGATGTTTGTGGACAAAGATTTAGCCGTAAAACTAATTTAAACTCACACATGAGAGTCCACACAGGAGACAAACCATTTCCTTGTGATCTTTGTGGACAAAGATTTAGCCTAAAATCTACTTTAAACTCACACATGAGAATCCACACAGGAGACAAACCATTTCCTTGTGACGTTTGTGGACAAAGATTTAGCCTAAAATCTACTTTAAACTCACACATAAGAGTCCACACAGGAGACAAACCATTTCCTTGTGATCTTTGTGGACAAAGATTTAGTCAAAAGTCATCTTTAAAATCACACATGAAAATCCACACAGGAGACAAACCATTTCCTTGTGACGTTTGTGGACAAAGATTTTGCCATAAAAATAATTTAAACTCACACTTGAGAGTCCACACAGGAGACAAACCATTTCCTTGTGATGTTTGTGGACAAAGATTTAGCTGTAAAACATATTTAAACACACACATGAGAGTCCACACAGGAGAAAAACCATTTCCTTGTGATCTTTGTGGACAAAGATTTAGTGTAAAGTCATATTTAAACACACACATGAGAGTCCACACAGGAGAAAAACCATTTCCTTGTGATGTTTGTGGACAAAGATTTAGTGTAAAGTCATCTTTAAACAGACACATGAGAGTCCACACAGGAGAAAAACCATTTCCTTGTGATGTTTGTGGACAAAGATTTAGTGTAAAGTCATCTTTAAACAGACACATGAGAGTCCACACAGGAGA